TCATCTACTGTGGTCACTGAATCAGCTGGGAATGCAAGTCTTTGTTCTATTCATCCCTCTGATCCTCATTGCCCTCTCCAACTTGATGCTGACATTGATTGGAATGCAGACACAGGCGCCACTTCTCATATGACACCTCATCGTCATTGGATGCACCACTATACCCCATATCGTGTGCCAATCAAGCTGGCTGATCACACTGTTGTCTATTCAGCTGGTGTTGGTACTGTGGTGTTTAATCCTGTGATGAATGGCAAAGTGGCTAGGGCTGTGGAATTCTCTAGAGTGCTCCATGTACCAGATCTTCGAAATAATCTCCTCTCAGTCTTGTATTTAACTCGTCAAGGTGGTTTCAATGTCACTATTTCGTCTCATTCCATGTCCTTTATGCGTGACAACACTCTCTTGTTCACTGCAACTATCAATGACAACAATGCAGCATTCCTTGATGGATCTACTGCTGCTTGTGTTGAATTGGGACATTTTACTGCGACTATACCACTTGATTTGATGCTCTGGCATCGCAGATTGGCTCACCACCATCATGCTGATGTCAAGAGACTGATACAGAGAGATCTGGTCACTGGGCTTACACTGGAATCCAAGGCTGCTCCTGACCCTGTCTGTGAACCGTGCTTGTCTGGCAAGATGCATGCCAATCCATTCCCCTCATCTGATACTCGCTCTGCTCATCCTTTGGACCTCATCCATTCTGATGTACACCAAGTCTCTTCCCCCACATTCTCTGGTTATCGCTACTGGGTCACCTTCATTGACGATCACAGTCGATTCCGTGTTGTTGTGCCTCTCAAGGCCAAGTCAGATGTCTTTGATGCTTTCAAGAGATTCAAGGCTTATGCTGAGACTCAATTGGAGCGTAAAATCAAGGCTCTGCGCGATGACAAAGGGGGAGAGTACATGTCCAAGGAATTTGAGCAATTCACAGATGATCATGGGATTGTCAGACAGCATACCACCAGGAATCGTCCTCAGCAGAATGGTGTGGCAGAGCGAGCAAACAGACTTCTGACTGAGCGTATCACTGCCATGTTATCAGAGTCTGCATTGCCTAACAGCTTCTGGGGTGAATGTCTGTCCGCTTTGGTGCATGTCTGGAACAGGTGTCCCACTGATGCAGTGGCCCATGCCACTCCATTTAAGTTGTGGTATGGACGCAAGCCTGACATGTCTCACCTTCGCGTTTGGGGCTGCACTGCCTATGTGCATGTGCAAAAGGACAAAAGAGGCGTCTTTGGCTCTCATATGGAGAAATGTGTGTTCATTGGTTACCCTGAGGGATACAAGGGATGGAAATTCTACAATCCTACCACCAAGCACACTGTTATCTCTGAGAGAGCTGATTTTGATGAGCGCTACTTCCCTGGCTTGAAAAGGTCTTCTGACGATGTCCCGCCTCCACCTCCCACTCCACCTTCGCTATCCATGCCATTGGGCCTGATTGAGGATGTCCCTGCACCAGGTCCAGGGGGAGATATGGGCCCACCAGCTGCGCTTCAGCAGCCTCAACCATTGCCTGACAATGGGCCTCATTTGGACCTTGATGCAAAACCACCTGTGAATCAACCTCCTGAGCTTCCAAATCACCCTCCTCATCGCTCACCTTCTCCTGACTTGCCTATTGCACTGAGACGCCCTGTAAGGGCTAGGAGACCACCTAGACCATGGTGGCTTCAACACAGACAACCTACTCCTGCCATTGAGAGTGATGACAGTGATTCTGAGGCAGTTGATGATGAAGTGGCACACTTTGGAGACTCTGCTGAGCCTAGGTCGTTTGCAGATGCAATGAAGCGTCCTGATGCAGATAAATGGAGAGAGGCAGCCATGGAAGAGCTTCAAGCTCATGAGCGCAATGGTACTTGGTCACTAGTGGAACTACCTCCTGGAGTCAAGGCTATTGGTGGCAAGTGGGTCTTCAAGATCAAGCGCAACTCAGATGGCACTGTTGAGCGCTACAAGGCCAGATATGTGGCCAAAGGTTATAACCAGCGCCCTGGCTTTGATTTCCTCGAAATATTTGCACCTACTGTCCGCATATCATCCATCAGAGTTGTCCTTGCCATTGCAGCCATCCACAACCTCCATTTGCGCTCCATTGACATTTCCCATGCATTCCTGAATGGAGTCATGGATGTCAAGGTCTACATGCATCAGCCAGAGGGATTCCATCAGGGTCCTCGCAATCTTGTTTGCCAGTTGGACAAGGCCATCTATGGGACAAAGCAGGGAGGCAGAATGTGGAACCAGAAGATGCACACTGTGCTTGAAAAACTCGGATTCAAGTGTACTTATTCAGACTCTGCCATCTATGTCTTTAACAGAGCTGATGTGCGCATTATCCTGCCTGTCTTTGTTGATGACATGACACTGGCATCCACTTCTACTTCTGCACTTGACCAAGCTGTCAAGGACCTCTCCCTGCACTTTAAGCTTCGTGATCTTGGCCCTACTTCTTACCTACTTGGCATTTCCATCACTAGAGACCTAAGTAATCGCACCATCTCCCTCTCCCAACATCAGTACACTCTGGACATTCTGGAGCACTTTGGCATGAAGGACTGCAAGCCTGTGTCCATTCCCATGGATCCTGGTTTGCGCCTCACCAAGGACATGTCTCCCAAAACATCCAGTGATGCTGCTTTGATGAAGGACATTCCCTACCTTGCTGCTGTTGGTGCTCTGATGTATCTGGCCACTACCACTCGTCCTGACATTGCCTACACTGTTGGAGTCCTTGCCAGATATAACTCTAATCCTGGTCTTACTCACTGGAGCGCTGTCAAGCACTTGTTCCGCTACTTGCAAGGCACCCTTAATCATTCCCTTGTCCTTGGTCCTGATCCCAATTCCACTGAACTCTTCACCACTTTCTCTGATGCTGATCATGGTGGTGACAAGGACTCTGGTCGTTCTACTGGTGCCTATATTGTCAAGATGGGATCTGGTGCTGTCTCCTGGAGCTCCAAGCTTCAGAACATTGTTGCTCTGTCCACCACTGAAGCAGAATACATTGCTGCTGTTGAGGCTGGCAAAGAGATTTGCTGGATGCGAAATTTGTTGAAGGAAATGGGCTATCCTATCACCTCTCCTTCCACCCTTCATATTGACAACCAATCTGCCATCTCTGTATCCAAGAACCCTGAGCACCATGGTCGGATGAAACACCTTGATCTGCAATGGCATTGGTTGAGAGATGTTGTTGACTCTGGGCAGATTGCTCCTACCTTTGTTCCCACTGCTGAAATGCCTGCAGACTTGTTGACCAAGGCTCTTGCCAAGCCTAAAGTGGAAGTGTTCAGGAAGATGATGGGACTTATTAGATCAGGGGGGAGCTGATGCTTGGGAGGTGCAGCATCAGGGGGGAGTGTTAGTTTTGGTGATTCTGCACCTTTGTGCTACCTATATATTTTCATTCCTTTCTCTATCTATTCTTCTATCATTCACTATTGATTGTGTTCTCTATTATTTCGCCTTTGTGGCTGCTTTGTTTACCTTTGTTTACAAAACTTCGGACAGTATTGCAGAGTCCAATGCTTCCTATTCTCTAGTTACTCACATTGGACTCTAGGTACTGTATACCTGTCATACTCTCTAATAATAAAGTTACTCACATTGGACTCTAGTTCCAGTCCCTGATTGCTCTCAGCAAGTGGCTAGACACTCCCTTCAAGCTTTGTTCTTAATAAGGAAGGGCGGACAATCCTACAAGACTTCAAGGCTCACATGACTCACGGTTTTGACTACACAGCATCACCAGAGGAAGTACAAGATTTGTTTCTGACAGTGTATGATTTGATGCTGAAGGTTTTATTTGAGGTCAAGTTCTTTGGAATCAAAGTGTCCGAGTATGTGCATGATACTATCTTGCCAGATATATCAGGTGAGAGAGACCTGTAATGCTGGAAAGACGAAGTATATATTTTTGGACATTATACTCCGGTGTGCATAGCAAAAAAATCCTAGAGAATCAGTCATATAGCAAATTTCCTAGTCATTTTGTAGGGGTTCTTCTGTCCAAGTCAGCTTGCAGAAAGTATTGTACAAAAAAGGCAATCTTTAAGGTGTGTGATGGCATTGTACATACATTGGCTGTGAGTGCTTGGATTTCCATCATCGTTCTTTGCCCAGTTCATTCACCATTCCAGTAGCAGTTCCCCCAAATCCCAAGGCACAAGTGTTTGTGACAGTCGGGTGGCTGGTGTTTTCTGCAATGACCAGTAAGTCTATTACTGGTGTTAGTATCAGTTTAGGGGCATACACTGAAATCACACCCAAGCACTGAATGCTGAGCTGTGGTGGGTGCACATCGTATGCAATCCTGACACGCCTATCCTTTGGCAATGCAACCATAGGGGCAATCAAGAAATCAAGCACACCCTTGAAGTAAACATATTACAGTCCTACATGGTGACATGGTGCGTTGTAAAGATGTTCATGTTTTGTTTTGAGCTGATTAATGCCTTTCTTCACTATTCTCACTACTTACATTCATTCTTGCGTCGTTCAATGATGGATCATGTGTTTATCTATTGTTGTATGTGCTACATTTCCTCCCCAATCCAGTAATTATCTTGACTCACTGCAAAGAGGATCCAATGCGCTATCATCACACCAAACCTTCCATGCTCACCAAAGGTAAGTACTCGTCACTTTTTGTTATAACTTCTAAATGAAACTAAGCCAACTGGTATCATTTATCAGAGACTTTGGCTCACTTGCACGTGACGCCAACATTCACCACTGTTAGTTATCATAGTTCTTGCCCCAAAATTCATTTAATGTTGATGCAGGTTTAATATTTGGTGGTCTTACTAGGCCATTTTGGCCAAAACACCGGTATATTTTTATTTTATTGGCATGTGTACAATATTCTGCAATGTGGGGGGTTCACATTGTGTTCCAGCAGCTCCACTGCATGTTCATTACCAAGACCCCCTTGGATAAAATTGTCAATTCAAAGAAGCAGCCTCCATCCATCCATGTCCAAATTCAATTTCCCTCCTCCAAATGAGGTGTTTCAGGGAATGGCGCAGGATGAAGGCGAGATGGAGAGACTTTGGAACTTCTTAAATGATCCTCTGGAAGTCCCCCCTGCACTGACAATATCTGGAAATAATGGTTTTTGGAGGAACAAGCTGGAGGATCGTACAAGTTATGTACTGGATGCAGACTTAGACGACCCTTGGAGCATGCATGAACACCCGCCAGCAACCTCTCCACTCCCAGACACCCAGGCAAACAGCACATCTAACCAGTCAGCCACAGTCAAACCAGATGTGTCAGTCAATCCATCTGACACATTGTCCCCACCTGATCCATCTGGCATGTCGCCCCCACTTGATCCATCTGGCACGTTGCCTCTAACTGATTTATTGCAAGGTGCACCAAAAAAGGCTTTTAATATATTCAGTGGCGCATCAGGTGCGTCTATCCCTCTCATTGACAGAGCAACACTCCCTTCTGGCAGTGTTCATCCTATAGAGGGGCAATTGGCACAGGGCAATAGTGCAACGTGGGCCTCACGCAATCCCACTAGAAGGACATTACCTGTTCGCCCTCCTCCACAGCCACTTACTGATGCTGCAAAGGCCTCGAGAAGTATTGTGAGGAAAGTAAAAAACAACATGCTCAAGAAGCTCAATGAAGACATCATTACATTTGTAAAAGAGCAAAATAATAAAATTACGGACATTGCCAAAAATCATGATGTAAAGGTGGAAAAGGTTAAGAATATGGTAATTGCATACACTCACTACACAAAGGCGCAAAAATTACAGCTTCACAATGCTATATTACATGCCAAAGCATTAGAAATAAATCCAAGTACTGTTACGCACGAAGTGCTTAACAACGTCTGAGGGTTCGTCGAGGTTTTATAGAGAGACTTATCCGAAGACAAGTTCGAGAATGTAGTTCTGAGTGGAGGTCTTCCAATGAGAGTTGGTCTTCTTCTGAGTAGAAGTCTGATCTTAGGAGTCTAGCTTTGTAAGCGTAAACTGTGTAGAATCGTATTGAAGAATACTACTGCTTGTTACATGGTATTTATAATGGAAAGAAATCGGTGATAGGAGTTAGGTCCTATCTAGGGCAGGTCCGTTTGTTGAGGACTAAGTACTATAATAGGTACTGTGAATGCAAGAGGAACGGAAGTGTACGTGAAGGAAATGAGTCATCGGTCTGATGGTATAACCGATGAGTAAAAAAAAATGAGTAGTCCTCAAATGTCCAATAGAGATCGTAACATTACCCCCTTACTTGCTCCGAGTTTCACCGAAATTCGGTACATTCGCCGTCCATATTGTAACTGTCGTCGTAGCTGACATCTCCATGTAATCCTTCCATCAGAATCCTATCCTTGTCTTCCCTGCGGATGGGACACCAATTGAAACTATGTCCCAGTGCACGACGGTCACAGTCGGGACAATAGTAGGCTTCGCAATAGTATGTGCGATGATCGCTCCAACCGCAGTTTTGGCAGTATGGAGCGTTGTTACAAACACCTTCGTGGTATCTTTGTCGGGTGTTGGATGAGGTGTCAGATTGGGGAGTGGTTGGATCGACATCTCCCAGGTTGTACGTTCCTGTGTACAACTGATCGATCATGGCTGCATTGTCGTCTACGTTGATTGGGTTAGAGGGAGAGCCAGTTTCAGGCCTGTGCATTGCGCCAGGCGGACTGTCTTTCTGTCCCTTTGACATACAAGACTGTCATTTCAATGGAGTTCTGGCGGCGGAGATCTGGAGTATCACCTCTTGCCGGCCGTGTCGGGCTCCTCATCAGTTTGTTAGGCGACGGGTTTGGGCGTTTGGCACTGGTCAAGGTGGAGATAATGGGGGAGACGGTGGTTTTGGGTTCGACCCAATGGAACGGGGACTGGAGTGGTTCGACTCTTGTGAGATTGGGCTGGTTGGGACGGTGGGAATATATTTCTCCTCCGACGGGATGGGTGGAGGTTGACGGGTGACAATGTGGTAAGTGCGCTCCGGGGTAACACTGGTCTGGTCTGGGTGCGACAGGGACCGGAGGGACAAACCGGGCGGAGGAGTACTCGTACAACCGTCTCGCTCTATCCGCGTGCGAGCTTTGTTTAGCAATGTCCTCCCACCTGATTCCAAATATTCCTTTGCCGAGTCCATCTGCCCATTCGAGGAGCTCATCCTCAAGCGTCGTTCCAAAGACTCCAAAACTAACTTTTCCATCCAGAGTGCCCGACAGATACCCGAGTCCTGACTGTTGAGCTGCGAATGCTCGCTTTCCAACGAATGTATTGAGTCTATGGCTTTTAGGAGTTCGTCAGCTATGAGGTCTATGGCAAGGAAGGTATGCATGGAAGAAAGAGCATAATACGCATGGGGACAGCATTTTTTGGTCTCGTAAAAGAGATAGGTATAGGCGTCTTTTGCTGACATTAGCTCTATGGCGTCAGTGACGTCGGCTTGGTTGTGTCATTGCCCACGGGCGAAAAACACTTGTTTGTTGGCTAGCAAGTTGGCGTCGCCAGGTATTGAGTAGGTGGTGGTAGGGAAGCCGGTGGAGTTAGAAGTAGACATGTTTTTGTGTTGAGAGACAGAGGCTTGTTGGTAATGGGGTGATTGTCTCTTCAACGCAGCTTGTGGTCCTTCTTATAGGCTTCCAGTATCTCCGCAGCATTGGTTAAATGTTCTTCCGGTTCCCATGAGTTTTTGGAATGAGGGTAATGGCGCCAGTTTCCAGGGTTTGTGTCTAAGAATACTTTCTACTTCGTATTCCTCTTCTTTGTTAATCAGGTCAGGTGGTGGTCGGATAAAGTTCGGGCTGTGAGTGTTGGTTTCCGTATACGGCGTGAGAAGGGATGCGTGGAAAACATTGTGTATCCTCCAATGGGGAGGCAGGGATAGTTGGTAGTTCACCGGGGAAATCTTTTCTTGGATGCGGAAAGGTCCGATGCGTTTCATGTTGAACTTCTTGTATTCGGTAGCTTTTTCTTATAGGTTGGTGTTCTCTAACCACACCTTTTGTCCTTCGGAGAATCGCGTGAACTTTCCATTGTTTTGTTTCATCATCTTGCTTCTCGCGAGTTTGTGTGCTTTTAGGGTGTTTTCCCTTGCCCTAAGCAGTTCGGATAATCGTCTTTCCACTGATGGGATATTCGTGGATCTGTGTTTAGTCGGGATTCCTCGGGGTTCATATCCCATGAGGAGGTAGAATGGCGATTGGTTGTTTGTGGAGTGTGGTCTTTGATTGTGACAGAATTCGGCGGTTGTAAGGTATTTTGCCCAGCTGTGTGGTGTCAATGATGAGGACTGTTGTTAGAAAACCACACACAAAAACAAACTAACAAACAATCCTCCCAGATTCCACGGAACTTGTTTATGGGCTTTGCCTCCTAGAACAGTGGGTGCTCTGGTTGTTCGTGGGGTGGTATGTATGAAGATCCTTCAAAGTAAAACTCAGAGATGTATGGGTGTGGGTATTGAGGAGGAGGGATAGTTGAATTTATAGAAGATGGGGGCTTAATGACGAGTATAGATGAGCACTACCTTGCTAATTGTAGCACAAGGTAGGTTTGAGAATGACGAGGATGACGAGGTGACGAGGTTCCCAGTGATAGCAGGCTCCTGACGCACAAACTGTAGTGCTCAGAAGGACTCTAATCTAAAGGGATAACAATGACTTCAAAAGTGGGAAGTGACGATGACAGCAATTAACAGTGGTAGCAGTGGGAAGTGTTGTGACCACACTGGATCACAAGTAGCAGAGAGTAGTGAACTTGAGATTAGAGAAGAAGTCTGGATTGGAGTTCTTTGTTGTTTTTTTTACAAGGTAAAATACAGGGGTTTATATAGTGAAAAGAAAGGTAGGCTATGCGCAGTATAGCTGTGCAAAAAGGATGAGAAAGAACATGAAGGAAGGAATGTACGCTGATGAATCCTGTGTAGTTGCTACAGGATAAGATCATCAAAATAAGGGAAAGAAAGGGATAGAACAATGAATGCTGTGAATAATGTCACAGGTTTGTACAGCCATAAAGTAAAGTCCAATAGCAAAAAGAGAGCAGGAAAATCATGATGTCATGGGAAGATGCAGTAGAAAAAGGGCAAGGCAAAACACTATCAGTATCAACACAGTTCCTTTATTGTCAGTCAGGCATTTGTAAATGAATTTTCTGCTGAAGAAAAAGAAACTGGAGCCACCAGTCCACCACCTAGTCCAAATCCGACAGTTCCATGGCCTTACCAATGGACTGGTTGTGTTGGACCACCTGATCAAATGAGGGAGGGAGAGGAGTAGTTCCAATTTGGAACAAGTGAGTCCCAGGCAGGGTGTGGTAGGTGTAGCTGTAGCAAAGACGATGGACAAATGATAAGTGTACCCAAGTGAATGGGACAGCGATGAACATGGGCGATGCAAGGGGATGAACCTTCTCCAGCTGAAAAAATACCCACCCACGCTCCAACCAGGCAAGACAAGCGACCAATGTTTTGATAGTATATGATGGCAGATCGACGTCATGAAGATGGACCTGTTGCCCTATTTGAACCGGCCGCCGGGGCTTTGCTGATATCAGCAGTGGCACGTGGTAGTCAACGGATCGGCGATGGAAGCGGATAGGAAGTTGTGACATCAGAAATGGTGGGGGTGCAAATAAGATGAGGAGGAGGAGGGTGGAGGTGACGAAAAAGTGGATTAGAATGGGGATCCAGAAACGACCATCAGGTGAGAATAAAAAGGAGAGGAAGGGGCCCATGGTGGGGCTAGGCAAAGGAAGGGGAGTAAGGGAAATGACAAAAGCGAGGGCGCAATGCAATGTGTAGCCAGTGGCGACGCAAAAATTTGCCGAAATGCCGAAACACGGAAAGTACCGGATGGAAAAGCAAAGGTGAGCGTGACTGGATTGCCTAATAGAGGTGGTGCTGATCAGCCACAAGTTCGAAAAAGGCAATATTAATTACTATTCCATGTGGTACTGTGCCTGTGTGGCGCAAAGGCGAGTCTTTTTGAATATTCGCTTCGTTATTGACACCTGTCCATGCTACCAATCAATTTTGGTGCATGACAGCGGTTGGTTCTGGCAAAATATGCGGAGGTAGATCTCCAGTTCTTGATTGGATCGTTCTGTTTGTCCATCCGTCTGGGGATGATACACAGAGGAGAGTGCGGAATCAATGTTCAGGAGTTTGTGGAGTTCTTTGGATACTTCAGAGGCAAACTGTGGTCCCCTGTCGGATATGAGTTTATCGTGCAATCTGAATTGTTTGAAAATGGAATCATGAAAGATTCGTGCGGTTTCGATTGCGTCAATGGTTTTATGACAAGGTGAGAGGATTTCCCCCTTACTAAGTCCTTGGTCTACCATTATCATTATACTGTCGTATCCTGAAGATTCTGGTAAATCAGTTATGAAGTCTACGGATAGGTACTTCATCGGTTCAATGGTTTTTGGGGTCTGGTTTGGGATTAATGGTATGGTGGTGGGATGCGTGTTCACTTTCGCTTGTTGACAAGTTGCGCATCCTTTCATGTATTCTTTCACTTGTTTCATCATTCCTGGCCACCAATAGGCCTTTTTGATCAACTGGTAGGTTTTGAGCCTTCCTGGGTGTCCTGCGGACAGGGAATCGTGGTGATCTTTGATGATTGTCTTTTGTTCTTCTACTTCGTCAATCAGTAATTTATTCTGATAAAAGAACTGTCCTTCTTCTTTTCTCCAATCGTCTTTCTTCGTTCTTCCTGGATAACTATTGTTTGTGAGCATGGCTTGCTCGACTGTGTTTTTAATCGTTTGTGTGTGGTACAGGAACGCCGAGGCGGGTATCATTGGTGTGTCATTGTCATCTCCTTCTGTTTCAACGTATAAATCAGGTCTTCTTGAGAGTGCGTCGGGTACCACCATATGGGTTCCTGGTACGTGCTCCAAGGTGTAATTGTATTGTGACAGTTCCAGCTGCCATCTTCTTTGTTGTGGTGTGAGTTTCCTGGCTTCTTGCCAGTACGTCAGGTTCTTGTGATCTGTAAGGATTTGGATCGTGTGGGGGCTTCCCAAAAGTAGGTGTTTCCACTCCTTTAAAGCTCTCATTACCGCTAATAATTCTTTGTCGTAGATCTGGTAGTTCTTTTCAGCGGGGGATAGAGTTTTGGAGAAGAATGCACATGGGTGCCATTGTCCTTGGTTATCGGGTTGCATTAATACAGCTCCTGTGGCGTGTTTGCTGGTGTCTGCAGCAATCTTTGACGGTTTTGAGGAGTCGGGTATTTGTGTTACGGGGGATTTGAGGAATTTTTGTTTCATCAATTTGAAAGTGTCATCTTCAGTTTGGGTCCAGTTCCACTTCCTATCCTTTTCTAGTAAGGCATTCAAGGGTCTGGCAAGGTCAGAGTAATGACCAATAAACTTCCTGTAGAAGTTTCCATAACCTAAAAACTTCCTTACGCCTTTGGTGTCTTTCGGGATTGGCCAATCGCGGATTCCAGCAAGTTTGGCTGGATCCATTGATACCTGATTGTGGGAAACAATTATCCCAAGTATTTGATGGTTTCTGCTTTGAAGGTGCATTTTTCTAGTTTCAGGAATAGATCGTTATTGCGTAATCTTTGTAGAACCTGTTTCGTTTGGAGTCGGAGTCTTTCAATGTTGGTGTCAAAGATGAGGATGTCGTCCATGTATATGATCATCCAACCTTCGTTGATGTAGTCTTTGAATTTGTCGTTCATCAGCCTTTGGAGTGTTGCCGGTGAATTGCACATGCCAAAGAACATGACCGTTGGTTCAAACACTCCTTTGCTGGTTTTAAACGCAGCTTTCCATTCGTCTCCTTCTTTTATCCTTACGTTGTTGTATCCCCAACGTAGATCTAGTTTTGTAAAGATGGTGGATCCTTTCAATTTTTCGATGAGGTCGGGTATCAGGGGTAGTGGATAGGGGTCTTTCACGGTGTATGCGTTCAGTTTTCTGTAATCCTGGCACGGTCGGAGTGATCCATCCTTTTTGCCGATGAAGAAGAAGGGGGACACCTGTGGCGACTTGCTCGGTCTGATGTATCCCTTCCTGTAGTTTTCCGTTAAAAATTCTGTTAATGCTTCGTCTTCCTTTGGTGCCAACAGGTACAATTTGCAATCTGTTGGTACAAATTCTGGTTTCATGTTGATTGCATGATCATATTCCCATCGCTTGGGGAGTCTTTCCGACTTCTTTTTCTCAAAGACGTCCGAATACCCTTTATATTCATCCGGGAGGTTATGCTCCTTCTTTTCTCCGTGAATTTGTGCGTGTTCCATTGCCGAGTTGACCTTCAATCGAATTGTGATTCGAGGATAGGGTGTTTGGTCGGATATGTATCTATGAATGGTTTTGTATACATCCTCGTTTACTGTGGTTGTCCTGATTTTTGTTTCCGTGGTTGTTTGGTTCATCCTGATGGAGTGTTTGTCTGAGTTTGGTAATTCTTTGTTTTTCCAGTTAATGACAGGATTGACTTTTCGTAACCAGGGGAATCCCAGTAATACGTCTTCTCCGTCTAGTTCGGTCAATAGGAACTTTGTGAACCTGTTTTGTCCTCCTGCATCTATCCTCTGATAGGTGCAATGCGTAATTTTTCCGTTTTTGTTCGTGGTTCCGTCAACATTTTTACATATTATAGGAGTTGGGAGTTTTTTGGAGGGGGAGTCGGTGTCTGATGGCAAATTTGGTGTCCATGAAGTTGTCTGTAGCTCCTGAATCTATCAGGGCTTTGGTTCCGATGGTTTTCTGTTTCAACAAGCAATCAATTTGTAAAGAGTTGGCATTGATTGTTGCTATTGTTACAGTTGCCATTTTTGACGGTACTAACATCGGGGTAGTCCGTTGTTTCAAAAACCCTCGTCTTCCAATCCTTTCATCGCCTCTGTTCTTTGATCTTCTCCTAACTCCCTCCATATCCTCATGATGTTTTGGACCCTGTCTTCTTCCACCACTGTTTTGGTGTCATCTTCCGTTTCGGTTTGACGTACCTTTCTTTCGGGAGTTTTTCCCTTGTTCCTACAATTCCTTCCTATGTGTCCTTTCTCGTTACATATGAAGCATCTTCCCTCTTTCCTCCTTGATTCTTCTTCGTCTTTGGTTAATCTTCTAGTGCTGGTGGATGGTCCACTTTTGCGGTTTCTGTCATTCTGTCTTTCTTTGTTTCTGGCGCCCCACGCTCCTTCCGAGATAGCGTTGGCACTGATCCAGTTAGCGTCTAGGTTCGCTACTGTGCTCATCCAGTCTTCGATGGTGAGTAGTTCCTTTCCGGTGAGTGCCCCGCAAAAAAGGGGTGACCGGATAGCCTTTTGATAAACCATGATCATGGCTTTGTTGTTGATGCCGCTTTTCCCAGCATCTAGCATGAACCTTGAGTTAAACACTACTGCATTTTCTCCTTGTTCCATCTTCATTTTCATCAAGGCGGCCGAGGCCGTTCCTTTGACATTTGCCGTTCTGAAAATGGCTGTGAAGGTTTTTCATGAAGTCTGCCCATGTGGGGTAGGCATTCTTCTCTTTGTATTTGGTCATCTTGGTTTCGCTCCATGAGGCGGCGTTGCCGTCCTTCATGTAGCTGAGGGCCACATATACCTTTTTCTTGTCGGAGTTGTAGATGGTGTTGTTGATATCAAAGTGTAGATCAGTGGACGATATCCACCTTTGGGCTTTATCTGGGGTTCCATCGAAGTCATTGATTTTCCCAATCATCGTGGGTTTGGGGGCTGCAGCGTTAGACATGGTGTGTGGTGGTGGGGTGTGGGATGGAGCAGGTGCGGCGGGGAGTATCTGTGGAGTGGGAGGTGGTATCGGGTCGCCGCCTGCTGCAAACTCTTCAAAGTCGTTCTCGTTGTAGAGGTTTTCTACAGTTACTGGGGGATTGTGTTGTGTTGTGGGCAGTAGCTGTGGGTGGCTTCCTGCGTAGTATTGTAGCCAATGTGTTCTGGTCTCGTAGAAAGTGTCTGCTTGTTCTCTGGTGTGGAGTCGGGTTACATCTGGTTGGGGAAAGGGAGGTGGTGCTGCTATCCTTTCTTGTTGGGATGACGTCGGTGGGGTTGCTGTTTGTGGGTTGTCTGAGCTTCCTCTTGCTCTCTGTGATCTGGTTGTTGGTCGTTGCGATGTCTTGTCGACTTTTTCTTCCCAAACCTAAATAGGTGGGACTTCTGGTTAGGGTTAGGATTATGATTCTTTTGTTACGCACAAAGTGCTTAACAAAGTCTGAGGGTTCGTCGAGGTTTTATAGAGAGACTTATCCGAAGACAAGTTCGAGAATGTAGTTCTGAGTGGAGGTCTTCCAACGAGAGTTGGTCTTCTTCTGAGTAGAAGTCTGATCTTAGGAGTCTAGCTTTGTAAGCGTAAACTGCGTAGAATTGTATTGGAGCATACTACTGCTTGTTACATGGTATTTATAATGGAAAGAAATCGGTGATAGGAGTTAGGTCCTATCTAGGGCAGGTCCGTTTGTTGAGGACTAAGTACTATAATAGGTACTGTGAATACAAGAGGAACGGAAGTGTACGTGAAGGAAATGAGTCATCGGTCCGATGGTATAACCGATGAGTAAAAAGAAATGAGTAGTCCTTAAATGTCCAATAGAGATCGTAACAAGTACGTACTTTACACTTTGCCTGTGGTTATAAACATATCTAACTGGTTCTCATATTTAGGTCTGAGTCCGGGAGAAAGGAAGGACCTTATTGAGCTACAGAACATGGCCACAAAGGACAAACAAGATCTGTCAGAAGAACAAAAAGAGGAGCTCCTCCAAAGATTGGCCAACAATCGCATACACAAGGCCACAAGCATGTGATTGAACAATGCCACAGCAGCTAGAGACATTATGTGCACAGCTGATAGCATGATTAAGGAGGTATGCCCCTATAATTATCTATTTTACATGTATTTTGATTAGGTATTCTGCTAGCTTGATAACCTTTCCTTACGAATGGGAATGTACGGCTATTTTTTTTGTCACACCCGAGTATATCAATCATCTTGCGCAGCCAACATGGTACGGCAGTGATAATTCACTGAATTTTCTTCAAGATGTGTTAAAAATTGATCCCGGCGAGGTTTCAAGGTTGTTTGCATTGTGGGAATGCACTTGTAACCAGAGTAAGTCCTTTCCCACTCCACTGGCAAGCTAACTGACAATGTGTTGTAGACACGTCGGAACTTGATACACTTGCTGTTGTACACAGCCAATGTGTGGAGTTGATCCAGACCGGCCTCAGTAAGTTTCAAAGCTTTATATTCAACAAAGCTAACTACAGACTTCATAGATTGCTTACTCAACAATGGAGCAGTTTCCATGAACTATGTAAATTACAAGACTGCTATTGTGCAAACCCACAAGGTCCGGTTGGTCAATTGGCCCACTGGCCTGAAATTTGTCAATCCATCCTTCATAGGAACTGTTGGTGATATACAAACCCTTCGCAACTCCCTAAGGACTAGCAAGTACCATTGGGAGAAGCTCAAAAGACTCCAACAAATGGCCCATAAACTCAACCTAGAGAGATGTCAAGAGGCTGGAGAAATCGTTGGGAAACCACAAAAACAGCGCTCAGACGCTGGTACCAAGTGCAAGTGAGGAGGTGCCTTACAGGGTGGAAGAGGAGCTGCCCCAGCACAAAGAGGCCGTGGAGGGGAGCGGGGTCAAAGTGCAATAAGCCAAGAGATTGTTGAAAGCTCTGGGGACAAGTAGGATGAGTAGATAGTATAGTACTCACTGGCTTAAGGAACATGTCACTATATTCTCTCCAATCACTCAAAGTTGGTCCTTTTGAGTGCGGCTGCCGAATCCCCGCCACAAAAATAGCTCACAAACCTCCAAAATCTCAGATTTATCCAAGAGATATTGAAGGAGGCCTGTAAAGACGATTCAAGAGGCTAACTAGCTGTGCAATCAGCCGGAGGTAGCAAGGATAATTAGTGGACTTGCGTGGGAATCACAGGTGAACCTATCACAAACATCCAAAGCATTATTAGACTCCCAATTGTCAGGTACCACGTCCTTTTCAAATATAGGAATAAACTGATATCCTTGTTGTAAACTGGTGAGAGGAACTATAGTGCCTACTGGTGTACTATCTGACCTTGTGCTAGGCTTTGAAACCATGTAGATCATATGACTTGGTTCAACTATAGGCTTATATTTTGTATATCATTCAATATAAGCCAGATGGACTTTTGGCTAAGCATTGAGAGCTGGAAATGCTCCAGCATGAATATGAGTAGGAAGCTTAAATATGACTTTCAATCTTCCAACTCTAGTTTCTAATACATGAAGATTATGAAACACATATAACTAGATCAAGATATAGTATACTCACCTGTAACCCCAGCTTATTCTTCACTCAAGGACTCCAATACTAATACAGTGTCAAACTGAGCCTTGACAGTATCATTACCAGGTCTGGCTCTAATCAATTTGTGCTTCATATCAGCAACATTACCACCTACTTGAACAGGGGTGAGCTTGAGGTTATAAAAAATGTCTAGTGCATACAAAAGTAGGGAGGATGGTGAGATTTGATATCTGGATAGATGACTTGGATGCCCTTTTTAAAGTTGATTGAGGAATTCTTTCAAATCACGTTCAAAGCCTGGACATTTAAGTTTTTGATGAATTGACTGAAGTGGCTGAAGAGGATAGGACAGTAATTTTTTTCAATTGAATGCCTAATCCAGAGGATGTTTTCAGGATATTGGTAGGTGGGGTAGACAATAGTAGAGATTTTTGATAGCTTTCAAAAGACGCCACTTTTTCTTGCCTTGTGAGCCATTCAATCATTTTAGGATGTTCCTTCCTGTGATTAGATGCTCTCCAAGCATCTTTGGCCATATCAATATGAAAGTGTTCAAACATTTCAATGTTGTAATTGTCAGTGGCCCCAAACCACCTGATTAAGTCAATATAATGTAGAAGATTGCAATAGCTTTTGAGAGATATCCCCGAGTAGTGTCACTATGAGTGGGATATTGAGCTATATATATGACGTCCAGAAGTGATCTGATGGAGATTATTGCTTGCTTGGGTAATTTGCCAATAAGATAGCCCAAAACAATTTTTGACATGTCTTTACACTTACTGCCTGATAGTTGAGGTAATAAAGATATTCTGTTCTTGAAATGTTGAGTGCCATAGGAGGGTGGGAGGCAACATATTCTTTGATCTAATTCTTCAGCTCTGAAGAGTTCTTGGCACTATTTTATGATATATTTAACAACCCCTTGGTAGAGCTGATGCAGACTATTCAATGATGGGCTAGCCTAAGGTTTTTCATCTCCTAAAACAGTATTTTCATAGGTGTGATGGTTGCAAGTCTGGAATGAATCTAAAGTAGTGATCATAGTTTGAAACTTGATGATATATTTTTGACCCAATTAAAATTTCAGATACTGGTCCCTGCTTTTGGGGATTTAATAATTAATATTGTCTTACTTGTTCCTTATAAACGGCTTTGTTTAATCTTATTTGTATTATTTCACTTGAATATTTTAGTGCCTCAATAAAAATGGACAAAAACTGATAAGTGCCCTAAGAAAAATGTAGTTTTCCTAATGGAGTGGGCAGTTACCATACTTGAGTGGGCTGTTCCCATATCTAAGTAGGCTATTCTCATTTTTAATATGGGCTGTTCTCATACTGTTTCTATGTTTAAGTGGGCTTTTTCCATACATATTTAAGTGGGCTTTTCTTATTTTTAAAATGGGCTGTTCCCATATCTGGTAGGCTATTCCCATACCTAAGTGGACTTTTCCCAATTTAATATGGTCTGTCCCTATACATAAGTAGGCTTTACCTATGTCTGAGTGGGGAGTTCTATTGTTTGAGTGGGTATAACCCATGTTAACATAAGCTTTACCTATATATAAGTAGGGTTTTTCTATTTTAATATAGGGTGTCCCCACTTTAGAGTAATCTACTCCCATTAATTTCTTAGGCATTAACTACTATCATCAGACCCTTCATATATTAGGTTTTAATTTTTAATTTTTGCATATTGCTGGACCATAAGGAGTGTAGAAAAGCAAAGTGGACTAGATTGAGATTATTATGATCTGTTTACAGTAGTATGCTTTGTAATTAATATTTTATTTATTAGTATCAATGTATGTAAAGTTAGTAGACACATTAATCATAATATTTAAATTAGTATGTTAGTTCAAAAGAATAATATAAACAATATAATCTATTTGGGCTATGTACCACATAACTTGTTCTCTTGATTTTACTTTATAACATGGGAATAGCCCACTCATATATGGAAAAAGCCCACTTAAACATAGAAACAGTATGAGAACAGCCCATATTAAAAATAGGAATAGCCCACTTATATATGGGAAAAGCCCACTCAAATATGGGAATAGCCAACTTAGACATAGGAACAGCCCATACTGAAATAAATAAAAACCACTTCATAATATGGATAGCCCTTACTAAAATAAGAAGAACCTACTTTTAAAATTAAAACAGCCTATATTGTAAAATAATTAGAAGGGCTAGCTTAGGTTTGGGAAATATATATGAAGTACTTATGATACTACACTGTGATATTAATACTGCCAAACTACACTCCTCCATTATTTTTTCCTACCTTACTATCTTTTCCTTTGTTACACCAAATTCTACTTTCCAGTTACTCTTTCCAATATTCTGTTACTTTTACTTTTCTCATTATCTTTCCCTTCTTTCCACCAAACTACACTTCTCTATCACTTTTGCCTTCCTATTACTTTAAACTTTCCTCTTTAGGAACAAGTAACAAAAGTGCTTTTGTTAATTATGCAATATAAAATATCTTAGGACTGAAAATAATATTTGCTGTAAATAATCCCACTTAAATAACTCATAAAATATTATTGAGGAGTTTAGCCCTAATAGTGATTTTCACCTCAAGGTGTAAAGTACATTATCTATATAGTAATATTATCAAGTAATAATACTCTGTGTAAGACAATGTTATTCCAGGTTATCCCAAACAGATATATAAAAGTATTACCTATAAGTGGATATCAAAAATCATTTAAATATATCTTGCTCTAAAGCATTTTTAGCCAAACAATAGCATTAGTTTAATTGGGGACCCCAGACACCCCATTACATGTGACAGTTCAATGGGATCAGCCCATTAAAAACACCTTATTGGATTGTCCCACATTGGTGTGGTCCAGTTTAATATGGGACAAGTCCATCCTCAACAGTGTAGAAAGACTGGTGATATGCTTGAGGCTGAAGTTGGTGATGCTGATCAGAGCAATAACAAAGGGGATGAAGAAGAGGATGAAGAACCCATCTGTAAAAGGGCAAGGAGGATAGCTGAAGATGAGATCCATGTAATAAACCTAATAAAACTCAGCCGCTGCCCAAGAGGCTATAGAAACGACTGAGGTATTCCTATACTAAACCCCCTACTACTTATAGTCAGAGGTGCTACTCGCTACAGTATAATGACTCCTAGGAGAACAATGGTTACTCCATGGAGAACAATGGCTGCTTCGGCAGAGACCGGGTTTATCCAGTTTTGTCACCATGAAGAACTTGATGATGAGGAAGAAGAGTTAATGAGTTCAATGAGGCCAAATGATATGTCAAATCAACTAGTCTGGTATAGTAGGCTGACCTTAATATAAGCACAGATAATTATACTCCTCCTGCTACACCTACCTCTAGTAGATCTCCTGCGCATAATGAAGTAAGTAACATCCTCCACTACAAAAATGCACAAATAATGTATTGTATCATTTTACACATAATTTGCCAAGATTTAAATGAGAGGCTTTTTAATACAAATTGTGGTATTACCCCTTCTGCAACTTCATCAAAAGACTCAAAGGTAAAATCATATTTTCTGAAAGGAAAAATCATGCTCATTGACATCTTTTTATACCATAAAATAGGTTTTAATGTCTAGCTTTAGCCTTACTTCAGCAAAATTAGCCAAATCAGGCCATTCACGTTTGAGGGTGTTACTAGCTACATCAAAAAGTTTTCTTTCATTTGAAGAGCATGATAATCTGGTCTGGGCTGCACTAAAAGAAGTAGGAAACTTTTCCACCACTTTAAGTGCCAAGTTGTTGAAGCTGGAGAACGTAGAGAATGGGTAACTTCCCATAAGGTTTCCGCAATAGAAACAAGGTATAAACAATATATCTGAGATAGCCGAAGCACCACCCATGAATATTTTAATGACTTGAATAAACCACAAGAGCCTATCAAATAAATCTATTCAAAGTTAAACATCTTGAGTCCATGTCTGAATTAGGAATTGATCACTGATCGGATATTGATCAGATCAGGCTTACAGACACTACATTATGGACTCAAGTGAGGCTATTACGAGTTAGTCCAACAAAGAACAGTCTGATGATGAACTCATTGAAGGAGTGGCATTTGTGGCTGCTATTGCATACATTGGAGCAGAAGAAGCACAACTTCTCCGTGCTTGAACTTGCCACCCCAATCGACTATATTACTGCCGTTCCCAACTCATGGCAGATCCTCATATAGATACACCTTGGCAGTGTCTTCTCAGCAGTCACAGTGATTGTGCTTTCATAACAACAATGGGGTTTGATGCTCACTCATTTGATGCCATCCTTTCTGCAGGTTTTGAGAAGATGTGGTATGAAAGGCCCATTGTGCGTTTTGATACTATTGGAGGAGGAAAATCACGACCTGGAGGTTGTTCTTTGGATGCTGCTGGGGCGCTAGGATTGGTTCTCCACTATCTCAATTCCACCATGTGTGAGGTTAGCCTGCAACAGATCTTTGCACTTATTCCATCCACTGTCTTGCAATACAACCACTTTGGGCTTAACATCTTGTTAGAAACATTGCGTAACATGCCAGACACAGCAATAACATGGCCCAAGGGTGCCAAATTTGAGGAGAATACTTGTTGCTCGTCATCCCCGTTTACAAGATGCTTTTGCGAGTATTGATGGGCTCAATCTGCCTACGTAGACGTCAGAGGACATTGACATTGAGAATGCAACCTTTAATAACTGGCTTTTGGAGCATTTTGTCAGCTCTGTGCTTGTTTTCTCTCCAAAAGGTGGGTTTTTCTCGGTAGATCCACCAGCTTTGTTGACTCATCTTGTTTTTTCCAAATGCCTGATCATTGCTGCAAACCTGAATGTCCCTGGGAGTTGGCATGATTCTTGGGTTGCTCAACCTATATACAAGAAACTGAGGACAAAGATGCCAGACAAGTACTATCTAGTTGCTGACACAGCTTTTCCTCGCAGCACAACACAGATTTCTGGACGTATATGTGCTCCTATTAAGGCTGGTCAGCATATTCCAGGAACAAGAGAAGATGTGGCAGAGAAGCTGGCATTTAACCGGGAGCTCCTGTCTTATTGCCAGACAGCTGAGTGGGTATGCGTGCACTACAAGGCTCATTTGGTTGGCTTCAAGTGCCGCTTGAGATTAACCATTCTGAACAAAGAGCAAACCTTCTGGAGACATGTGTGCGGCTGCACAACCTTTGAGCAAGGCTGGTGGGTATCAACAAGATTAAGAATGTGTACATGAAGGAGTGGACAAGAGGTGTTGATCAGGAGGAGCTTTGGAGGAGCTTTGAGGATATGTTGTTTTCGGACAATAAAAAAGATTGCATCTCACGTTTCCATATTGTTGCTAGTTATGAGTGATCAATATGATTAGATTCACTGACAGAAAAATACGACAGAGTAACAACAGAGTAATAGCAGTGTATGACAGTGTAACAACAGTGTATAGTAGTTCAAAATCTACTATTGTGGGCTGCGGGACGTTGCAGACCACTGAGTGCAAAGTGGTACTTTGTTCTCATCATTTTCCTTGCTCTGTGTTGCATGTGCTTGCCTCTGTGTGTAAGGTGCATCATCCGTGTATTCCAGTTGATGCAGGCTAGGAGCAGTGGCCATAGAGTGATTGTGGTCTCGGATTTTGGATTGAAGTGTGTTGCTGCTAGAAGGACATGGCCATTGAGGCTGGAGAGGCTGATGTGTGCGTGTAGAGTGAGAGCAATGGGGTGCAGGGTGAGAGTGATGATCTAACCTACCTGTGTCTGTGTCACCCATATCATCTTTGTGTTTATATTCACTCATGTCCTCTTCATCTGTAACCCACCAAATCTTCCCTCCACCATTTGTGTATCTGTCTTCACAAAGATGTTTTTGTTTGGGTGAGTTGCTGTGACGTTTGGTTTGGCCTCATGTCCGAGACTGATTGTCACTCTTATGGCCCATTCTTGCACCTGAAAGCTGCAGCATCTCCAACTTCAGCTCTGCTCAATCACAAGCACGGCTGACTTCATGAACACGGTCCTGGACTTCAGTTACTTGAGTGTGAAGTGCGTTAATGGTGGTCTGTGAATCACAAGGTTGCTGAGAAAAAGTGAGAATGTGAGTGTTTTGAAGTGATCTGTTGGAGTAGTTGTAGTCACGCTGCATTTGCACACTAGGGTCAAATACATGTGCAAGCTTGTTGATAAGGTTGAGGCCATTTGCTTCATGAGCATTTCAACAAGGAATAGGAACAACTGCACGGCTGAACGTGCAATTGCTATCCTTGGTTGGCTTGGAGGAAGAGTAGGAGGGTCATTTTTGTTGCTGCTAATGCTGACATGACTCTGGATGTCAGACCTGTCTACAAACTCTCCATCATCCAAATCCCTAGTGCTAGCACACTCATTAATCAAGTAGTCAGTCTCATGTGCACGCTCCACTTCAGGTGGACAGACAGCATCCCCAGTTGGTTTTGTAGTCTTCACTAACTATAATATGTGAACACTATTAGTTTGCCATGTGAATATCACATTGGATATACGCACTTGCTTGAACCTTGTTTCAAGTGACTTGAGGGTCCTTTTAGGTTGTTCTTGTTTGCATGCCCACTTTGTGAATTGACTATGAACTGTCTTCCAGCCTTGCTGACCAAGCAGAAGTCCTTCTTCTGTGAAATATAATAGGGCCATCATGTTGTCTGTAGAGTAGTTACCAGCTCCACTTGGTTGGCCATGTCCTGTTGGCTTCTTGTCCTCTATGTCCATCTTTATAGTCTTTTTATCATCCACGTCAGTGGCCTTCTTATGCTTGGGTTGTGGCTTGTTATGACCACCAGCTTTTTTCTTCCTTTTTGGGGTCAACTCTTCAACAGCACACTCTTTACCCTTACAACAAGACCCATATATTGTTGAGCTTGCATGCCTGGATAGAAGGGACCTGGATTTGGAAGTTGACGGTGGCCAGCGCCATCACCAGTTGTACTGTGCTACAGAAAGAATGATGCATTATTTTTGAGTGTACACTAGACAAATTGTAAGACTTACCTTCAATGGTCCATAATACAGGCTTTTGGGCAGAATCTGTGCCTCAAAGTTATGATTCTACAAAGAGCAAGTCAGAAGTAGTACAACGACAACACAAATATATAGAAACAAGTACCTCTGCAATGCCTGGGTGTGGCAACCACTGGCCATAGCTGTCTCTCTTAAATGTGTTGCCTGCCACATTATAGCAGAGGTCAGAGTCTTTCGGACGTGAAATTTGGAATGCATCGGGTGGTGTGGTAGACATCACAGGTGAGGGTGAATGAGTGAATGAGTATTACTTACTGTCAGTGTAAGGACAAGACAGAATAGTGCAGAGAAGACATACCAGGACTATTTTCTTTAAGCACTTTGCAAAATTCCAATATCAGGTGGGTAACTACAACAACACAGGGCTGCAGCTGGGGCGGATCTCAAAGTGGCGACTATGCAGTCAAAGCTGGCAACACCGACAGATGGAAGGACGACAACTTACGATAAAGTAAGCATATCATTGCCTGTCTGGGTGTAGTCCTTGTCAGTGCCACGCTATGGTGGAGCTGTAGGAAATGTGGAAAAGTGGGAAATGAAATACGGACCTGGATAGGTGGGGCTTTTATATTACAGAAAATTTGAACAATGGTGTTGATGTAATGAGGGACTGTGCATTGAGAGCACAATTTATGCTGTTGTGCTTGGTTGAATAGCAGGCCTTGAGCAACTTTTGATGTGACTGTGGACAGATCATCAATTACTCAGACATGTGTCCAAATGCAGACAAAAATTAATATATTTAATTCTATAAAATCTAAAAGGGGGGTAGGTATCCCCCTTCTAGATGTGCCATTTAATGATGTTTATTCATGGGGTCAAAATAATGGGCCATTGCAAATAGCACCCAATAGGGATGCCAGATCTCGGCCATCACTGTTTATTACTTGTGTTTATTCTATTCAGCTGTATAAATGCTTATGGAAAGTCACCCAATGAGCTATTAAAAGGGAGAATCATGGACTACATTGTCATATCCGTACCAGAGAACAGGACTCCAGCATCTTTGAAGGAGATATTTCCTCAAGTCCGAATCTTCCAAAATCTCAGTATTCTTGGGATTACGCTCCTCATGGCCTGCTGGTTGGCATAGCCCCGTGCCCTACCCCCACATGGTACTCCAGACTCCCATTCCAATACTCCTGCAACAGACTTCTAGTCCATCATATGCTTTCCTATGCACGTTCTCATACTCCTCATGGACTCTGTAGTTTAGACTTTATGATACACTCCTTGCACATATGTTCTCCTCTTGCTAGATAATTGTCCGCATGGAACTCTGTACCTACATTACAAGTTACTCCTTATGGGCCCCTCCAACAGTGTATAAGTTGTAGCTCCTGTACTCTGTTCCTGCAGTTCAAATATGAACTAGATTCCCTTGCCTTTTTACAAGTCCCTTTCTAAGTCTTCTCATCCTTCTCCAAAGGATCTTTACTCTGCTCCCTTTTCATCCTCTACTCGCCTCCGTCCATTCTGTTGAGTTAGGGACCAAGGTCTGCGGAAGGGCCTAGCACACAAGCTAAGCCAATTCCCCATCTTGTACTCCATTACCCCCTACTTCATCTCCATACTCCATAACTCTGACACTCCGAAGGTGACATTTCTGACATACATCCACCAAATCTCTATATTTTTGATTGTTTCACAATACTAATAAAACTCCACAGATTTGGTTAGCTTCTTCCCAGATGAGGGGTGAAGTCAAGCAGAAAGCACGTGTATTGGTGATTTTCTTACAACCAAAGTTTTTATATTCTGGCGCACAGAAAGAATAAGCAGAGAGGAGTGAGTGAGAGAGTGGATAAACTCCTTTAGGTTTAGGATCGAGTTAATTGTGGGTAAACAACAGGAGGACTCACTGAGGAGTCTCCTTCATCTATTGGGGTATTTATACTACTATAGACTATTTGTACATGTGTACTATACAGTTGATGAAGGCAGTGGCCAATAATGTCATAGGGCACAGCCTATGTGATCAGCTCCACTATGTGAGATACTTGTAGCTAAGAATAAAGAAAGGCAGTGCAGCACAAGAAAGTGGAGTTTGAACAAATATGGAAAGTGCTGCATGGCACAGTGTGTGAAAACTACAAAAGAAAGTTAAAGTGGAGAATGAAATTTTAAGGTCCAAAAATTGTGTATCGTAACAGGTTTCAGAATATGGGCTTGCAACAGATAAATTTCCAGAAGAAATATGTGATGTGGTAGAATGGCTTTAAACAATGGAAAAGGTATTTTTATCTTTGGTAACCTGGATGTCAAGGTGAGTACGCATATTGTTTCATCTTCACCACACTAAATATATAACAAATGTTCCACTCCAGGTCCGTACCTATGACAAACAAAAACCTTTCAGTCATAATATCATTAAGCTTATTCTTCAAGTCCAATAGTTTCACAAGAAAGGGGAAGGAGTGCAAAATGTGCAAGACTTCAAATACATACCTCTCCCTCTCATCACTTTAGTGGTAGTTGCAGTATCTCCTTTTTTATTATAAATGTGAAAGCTGATGTTTTTCTTCAGATAGAAAACTGCCTCCATGAGTTTGCTACAGGTGTAAGATGTACCCTAAATTTTTCAGACCAAGGTTTGTACATATTACTGAATATTATATTTGAGAATACTAACAACCCTCTACTACAAGGTACACCGTAATTATATTGCTAGATTAGAAGAATTTCAAAAAAAGGCTCCAAGGTGGATGGAGCATATGTGCAGTTCCCTATACAGTGGTATCTTGTATCTTGTCACAAGGACATTTAATTTGATTAATTTTAACACATATCTTTTAACAGGGACCAATGCAATCTGCAATATATCAAGGATCAAAACATTGAATCAAATGATAAGGTTTACTTTACAGAGGACTCTATAATTGCTTAATGTTGTATTTAATATCATAGAAAAATAACAGTTTCAGTGCTTCCCAATCAAATTATGATAGTAATAGATTTATTTGACTATGATAATCATTAAAGAAATATATTGCTCTACAAACAACACTTGTAACAGTGGTAGATGTATTTGGCTATGGTAGTGGCCATAAAAATGTATTTTTCTGAAAGTGTAGTGAAACAGTTATATCTACATTGAGCTATACAAGGCAATATAGCCAGCCTTGTCTTGTATAGTTGACAAAATACAAACCTGTTTGGATAGTAGATTTACATATTATTATAGCTGGTAAAGCTGAAGCCCAGCTATATAGAGCTATATAATAGGGACTTGTCTACACCAACTATACCAGCTATACCAGCTATAAGAGCCTATATAGTGCTATATGGGCTATAATAGCTATCTGGGATTTTTCTGACATAGAAACTCAGGGTCTATGATATTATGTAATAGTAGTCCAATATTCCCGGGCTTTATAGTAATCCTGTGTTCCTAGGCTTTGTAGTAATATAAAATTCCCAGGCTTCTCCTTGCTCCCGGTATTCAACTACAGTATGCCTGGGTTTCACCCTTTTCAATGAGCAAGCTACTATAAATAGCTACAAAATTGTAGCAGTGATGTACCTGAATCAAGACAGTTCTGCTGCTATTCCACATTTATAACTGCATAACATGATAATGTGAAGGTACTGACCATCCCAGGGTCTCCACCCCACACATTTTATGTATATACTCCCTCATGTAATATGCAAAACATATTCTCTCACCACTGCAGGACAAAACCCCATGATTCAGCTACTTCCCACTAAACACAGCAATAATCCCACTATCAAACTTGAAGCAAAAACCTGCCCTTGTGAACTCCAGAATGGCCTTATTGTAGTCTCCTATGCTTGCCAACATATCATACCACTTTGTTTTGGAGAGACAATCCTGGTTGCTGATGATAGAAAATGCTTTGAAGACTGAGCTTCATGCCTTCAGTACCGTCACATCATATATATGGTCCTCAACTCAAACCAGCGCCTCCCAGGCCAACTTATAGAGCGCAGGGTGAGCTACACACAAGGTTGCACTCATGAGGACCCCAATCTCCACAAAGAATTGCAACCACAGCTCACTGGTGCCCGGGGGTGTAGATTTGCGCAATGATCAGGAAGCTTGTAGAGCCTCTCCAGTTTTCTGTGGTGAAACTTTTATTAATTATAATGTATAGATTATAACTCAATAACATGACCAAGTTGAACCACGCCAGGGATAAGTCTATCAACCCACAAGAGAATAGCTGACAGTCCCTGGGATTTTTGTAATATTCTGAAGATTTATACTAGCTCTTTGAGGGCATCTTGGGTCATTTGCTTTCCATATTTTGCTTGAGATACTGTAGACTATCACACATGCTTTGCTAAATATATTTTCACCTGTCTCTTCTCAGTGAGAATGCCCGGAAGGTACCATAGAATTATTCCTATTCTTCCGTGAATGTCCATTATGATAGAAGGGATTGTGATGATGCCAATATCTTTTGCAGGTTGATATTCCTTGGATATACTCTGTTCAAGCTTATCATTCTGGCTGTTACTACAAGGGCCCACCCACTCTGCATACAATGTCACATCCCATTGAATAATCACTACCCTGGTATTCATCAGTAATGTCTTTGGTGCAATACAAATGACTTACTCCTTGTGAGGTATGCAATTGTTAACACCCCAGCTGCTCTCTTACATTCACTAACAAATGTTCCTGGGAGGTTTGCATTCTAATCCTAATGGGATTCTGGCTCTGGCTGGAGGAGGTCAGGCCCCTCGGTGTGCATGCAAATCAATGCTTGCCGGAAGTGAAATAGCACACACTATGCTGCAAGTTCTGTAAACAGCAATTTCCAGCTAGAAGATCAGAGAGAATAGATGGCTCGGGTGTCTGAAGACTCATGGTGTTGCTATAGACAACAAAAATATATGTGGATTCTCTAATAAATAATTACTGGTCAGTACATTATATAATACAGCATTTCAGAAAAATGTTGTTCAAGCATGTCCATGAATCTGTAACAACCAAGAGTTTGTTACTCTGGCGCACAACTCAGACAAGCTATATAGGTGATGATGAGGGAGTGGTTACCCTTTAGGCTTTGACAAGTTAGTTGTGAGGATCAACAGGAGGACTTGCTGAGGAGTCTCCTTGATCTATTGGGGTATGTATACCACTATAGGTTTGTTTGTACATATGTACTATACAGTTGATGGGGGCAGTGGCTGGTGATGTCATGAGCACAGCTCGTGTGACCAGCTCCACTGCGTGAGAGACTTGTAGCT